GTTATCGAGTATACCGGCCTTCACCCAGGCCCGGCGTTCAGCTCGATTAGCTTCGACTTTAGTTAAACTTGGCGACGCAGGTAAATCAAGCGATGCTTCTGAGCTGTCAGGAAGCGTCATTTCGCCTGTTTCCCAGTCGATAGTGGGGTTGACTTTCTTTAACCATGGTAGTCCGAGGATAATGTTCTCGGGACCGATATCAGTGATAAAGAAGTCGTATTCCTCGGGGGTTCTCGATCCGATTTTGACTTTGAGTTTGGCATAGTGTGTGATTGCACCAGCGCTGTTAGTCGATCCGTCAATATTTCGGAGGCCTATCTGTCGTTTGAGGGGTCGTTTGTAGATGTTGTTTTCCCGTGCAAATTTCTCGTGTAGGAAGTAACCGGTGGCACCGGAATCAATCATAGCAGGTGTGCGTAGAGATTTATTTACTCCTGATATTGTTACAAACACGCGAAAGTGAGACGAGAGGTGATCTATTGACGATACAGTACATGACGAGATATGGTCCGAAGGATCAGAGTCCAAATGTAAAAGAGCCGGTGCTGTTGAAGACCGCTCATCTAAACCGGGCACCAGAGCTGCAGCTCTAGTCTGAGCCCTTGCTAAAAACCCTGGCTGAGTTTTGCCATCAATTCAGCCTGTTGCTTCTGCATCAAGACCATCATGTCTTTGAGACTGGCTACGTCGGCAGCCGAGTCTTGAGACGTAGAGATGGAAGCTGATGTTGAGGGGTTTGTCGACGATGAGGCTCGGACTGATTGCGACTTTGGTGGTTGTCCGTTTAGTCTCGACAGACAAAGCTTCTTCCAGTGACCGGGTTTACCACAATGTTGACACTTGGTGTCCTCGTGAGCGCCGTCTGCCTTGTGACCTTTGGAACCGCAGACGCGGCAACGACCAACCATGAGTTTATTGTATTGCTTCTTGATCTCCGCAGGGTCTTTAAGACCCTGGAACAGGTCGTCGAAGCGTGCGGCGGAGATGTCCATGGCGTCGATGTCCATTGCGTTTGGGTCGCGGAAACCGGAGGAGCGCGTCGTTGTCGTCGACCGGGGCTGCGAGACTGGTTTGCCTTGATTGGCCGCCAGGTCTGCTTTTTGCAAGTCGATTGTTGCTCCGTAATTTTTGACCATGTTGTAGTCTGTGGCCAGAGGAGCAAAGTAGGACAGCCTATTGAGGTAATCCGAATTCATCCCAGACTTGAGACGATCGTAGAGGTCGTTATTCGACCAGCCGGTACGACAAGAGTAAGTCTCGAAGTCAGAGAGGTAGTCCGCAAATGTCCGATCGCCTTGTTTGATCGACATGAGCTTCTGCTTGGCTTCGTTCTTCGCGTCGACGGGTTCGAATTTAGCCGAGAACTGTTTGACGAACTCATCCCAATCGGCGTTGAATGGAGTACGACCGTCGGAGAGTTCGTCGATGTGAGGACGTGCCCAGACCGCTGCTTCGTCCGTCATGAAGGATAGGATACCGGTGATCATTTTGAGCGGGTCCATTATCCAGTTGCCGGCATGGTCGAGGATGATGGCGTCTTGAGCGTTCCGCGAGGCGAATATTTCTTTATTTCCTCGGACGTATACGCGAAAGGCGCTGCGGAACAATCTGGCTTTTTCGGATGACTTGCCGTCGAAGGTGGCTGGTTTCTCGACGAAAGACCGGGACCTGGTGGAAGAGACCGTGGTAACTGGCTGACGTGCATGCGCTACGAACTGGTTCACAGTTGTCGTGAGGTTATTGACATTTTGGACCAGTGTGACCATGAGGTTTAGTACGTCCTGCATGGTGGGTTGCGGTGCTGGGGGTGGAACGTCCATTGCTTCGGCGGGTTCTTCTAGGTGGTATCGCTCACGAATCCGTGCTTCCTGTTCGCTATTGATGAACAGGTAAGGTGGGTTTTCGGAGGTGACCGGTCGTGTCTGATGCTCGTAGTAGCGGTTTGGACAGAGATAGTTTGTGCAAGTGTTTAACTGTCTTCTTTCGTCCAAATAGTAGTCTCGAGCTTCTTCGAAGTTGAAGACGTGAGCGAAGGCCGCGCAAACTAAGCGAGTGTCTGCCACTGTTTCTGATTCGTCCAATAGGACGGAGAACAGATTTATAGAAAGTGGAAAGGGAGTTCTAGGAATAATTGTACTAGTTCTAACTCGACGAGATGGTCGAGTGCGTAATCTAGTATGTACGGATCGAGGATTCGCTCCTCGTCGTAGTCTATGTATTCGAAAACTATATACTCGTCCAGCTTTCTAATTGAAGTATCCGTTGACCCAAACCGCACGAAGTGCTTTAAAAATCTGGACTCGGTTACGCCGCAGTCCTTTGAACGAGATCCCGCCGATCTGCTTCAATCCGGAGTCCCAACGGTTCCACTCCTTGATGCTGATGACGCGTGAAACGTCCTTGAGGGTGCGGTCGAGGTGGGCGAGGCGGTCGCGAAGCTTGAAGACGGCGTTCATGTCGTCGGTCAGAACGTCGGGGCAGTCGAGTGACTCGAGCACGTTGAAGCGTTTGAGGGTGGCGGCGAATTTCGGTGCGAAGATGCGGGCGAGGTCGGCGGCCGTGTAACGGGAGAAGTCGATGGTGACGGGCTTCGGGGCGATGGGGGTGTAGGTTGGGGCGGCGGTGAGGCGGTCCGCTAGAGAACGGCTGGAGGAGGCGCTGGCGTGCGCGTTTTGCCTAGCGCGGGCTTGGTCGCGTTGCGCCTGAAAGTGTTGGCGGTCGTCGTGAGCCGCGAGCTTGGCCTGCTCGACTGCGTCCCAGTCGATGGTAGGGAGAGTGGTGGACGGAGGCGGGAGCGTAGAGACGTGCCTAACGACAGCACGGAGCTCGGTGGTGGTGTACTGGTGTGGGGTGCCTGCTTCGCGTTCTCGACTGAGTTGGTCGAAGACGGCTTCGGGCAGCGCGCGTCGGAGGCGCGGGTGACGCTCGTCCGCGAGGCGTTTGAAAGCGCGGGGGCGGTCGGGCAAATCCTTCGGCACTGGTTTTATGCAGGGATTAGCGCTACGCGCGTACGTCTGCCACCAATCGCCGAAGAGACTTACTCTTCAAACGGTGGGAATAAACTTTTTTAAAACTGTGCACGGGGCACTGGATAGGGGGGGAATAGTCCGGGTGCACAAAGATCTCAACCTAATGATGTGGACTTGCGTCAACACACCACGAAGAATACTTCGTGGATCTAACTAGAAGGCGGCGCCGACGAGGTCTGGCGACTACTGTGTTAGCTTATTCAGCTAGCCCAATTAACCAAGTGTATTAGCAATCTGTACTACGATACAAGTAAAGGCTTACCTAGCCCAATTAACCAAGAGGTTGAGATGGGGCTAGGTAGCGACAAAGGGTAGCCTTATATACTAGTCAGGCTGCGCACGGACCAGGCTTTACATAAGCGACTGGTGCTACGGCGACTGCTAGTGTCTAGGGGACTTAGGCGGGGAAACGAGGGCCGGTGTGTCATACCATATGACGTTGTCGGGCCGACGGAGATAAG